GTCTAGACTACAGGGTTTTGTCGACAAAAGTAGACTTTTGTCGACAAAACTATACCTGCATCTACACTACCGACATAACATCAACAGAACTCGGCAGTTTTGTCGATGGTGGTAAACCTCATTCTATGAGGAATAACGCCTTTTGTCGACAGAGTTCTGTTGACAGAAGGCGTTATTGCATCTACATTGTCCTTTGCGTCTTGCTTTGTTGACAGAACTGGATGTGGTCTAGACGCTCTTTGTTGACAGAAGCTTTGTCGACAGTATCTATTGACAAAGCCTCTGTCGACAAAAGCCTGTAGTCTAGACATACCCTAAGGTGCCACAGGACTTCTCGTTGTTTATGCAGATTCAGACTAACACAGCTACCCCTCTGATATCAATATTCTAAGAAGATGTTTAAACCCAGGTAGCAGCATCACTCCTTTCTCTAATTCTAATTCAAGTCACTGATTCTGGTGCGGGATAACGGCTTAACCCAGTCAACATTCTATGCAAAGCCATACCAAAATGATACACATTGGTTTAGCCCTGTAAAATAAAGCTACCTCTCATCTCCACAAGTAAGTCAACATAGTTAAAATAGCATAGCTACCCCATACAGTAAACTTAATGATATTTAGGATAGAGGCAAGTTTTTTTATTAGCCAACATATATATTATAACTTGTCAAAGATTGTGGTTTGCTTTGATTTCTTGGTGGATTTAACTGAGACCACATGAAAAGATCCTGTATCTTCTACAGCTCTTTACATTTGAATAATGTAAGGCAGCATGCTTCAATGCAAAAAGCCAAGCACAATGTGCCAAGAATAAAAGTGCTGCCAATGTAACATAAAAAGTTACTTCTCTTCTAATACTGCAATTAATATTTTAAATGGGAATCCTTCTTCTGAAGTCATTCATCAGTAAAAAGGAAACATGTGCAACCATAATTTACTAATACTGTGGTTTTAGGCTGCTAGCAAATAATCATCATTGTGGTTAAGTATCTATAAAATGAGGAAATTCAATACCCTTGAATGGAAGGCATAGATAGAACGGAGCTTGAAAGGAATAGAAGACAAAGATGTTTACGAAATTCTCCACATAAACTATTGGCCCTGATTCTCCTCTCACTTGCATAGTTAAAATCAGGAAAGACTTTGCTGACAACAGTGAGGTTAAGCCATTTTAAAACGGGTGTAAATGAGAGGATCAGCCCCATAAATGTGTAATATTTTTGGGAGGGTAGAAAAAACAGGAGAACTTTGATCCTACTGTACCAAAAAAAGTGAAAGCAATGCTTTGGAAAACTGAACTGGACATTTGGACAGCCAGCACTATTGTGTTTGAAACAAATACCATTATTGAAGACCCTTAAGAGATGGCTGCAGGCATTAAGAATTAAACTGCATAACAGAGTACATAAATTCCACCCTCCCAATCACAGAGAAACTGTTTCACAATTAACAAATGTAGAGAGATGTTCTGGAGACTAAAGTCTCAATTTATATTTTGACTATTTCAACTCTGAGGTTCCCAATTTGCAGCACCTTAAATGAACCTGATTTTAATAGCATTGTATCAGCACACTGAAAATCAGGTCCCTTTAAGGAATTTCACATTGAGCATCCCAACATGGAAAATCACTAGGCCCTTTTGAAAATTTTGGACAAAAATACGTATTTACATACAAATACAGGACTCACAAGATTAATATGTGCAGCACACAGAAAGGAACATCTCATATCCTAATTAAAAGTAAGCAATATACAATATTTTTGACAAATATCCTTGCCAAAAAAAAACCCTAATAAAATGTCTTGAACATTCTTATTACCTTTCTTAGACAACCCCCCTCTTAAAGCGCATACTGAGCCTCAAGGCCCTTGAAGTCAGAGGAAAGATTCTCATTGACTTCAATGAGCTCTGTACAAGATCCTGTGGGAATTCAGAAGCCTTGGCAAATAGGCTGCAATACAGGAAAGAATCCATGTTTATTCTGTTTTACTTCACTGGGTTTTTGATGTGAAAAGGGATAGAAAATACTCATCTAAAGTAAGGAAACAGGGCACACAGGGGTCCGAGTAGAACAATGTAAGCATCTTATTTGAATTCCACAACAAACAGCACTTTGGAAGTGACTGCTCAATGCTCTGAAAGGGCCCCGGGGAAATACATATTCTTAAATCGAGTAAAAGAAAGCATATTGACAAAAATGCACAAAAGTAGCTGAGCGCCAATGGGGAGGAGGATGTACCCTGTTCAAGAATGGTGCTACTTCTCCTCTATTGTTAGCTACCTGGGAATTCACAGAAGAAACTGCTGGGCTGTGCAGCCTCTTCTTCTCCCATATAGAAATTTGAAAATTTTAGCAAGACAAAATGAAAGAAAAGAATCTTCATAAAAATGAATGGAATTTCTAACTGGAAAAGAAAAATGTGTTGTCAAGTAGCAAAATGTTTCAATTTCAGGCCCTGGGGCAAGGCGAGAAAGCTTCACGGGACCAATGACTGCACAGATCCAAGTGATTTCAACAGGCTACATAAGTGGCACTGAAGCCTTTGAGTGCCGATCCAGCTTGGAGGGTAAGACAGCACCCACAACAGGGACAGAGAGGGGAGCAGCTCTGAACCAGTGGTTGTGATATAAATTTTGTCTCTCCAAATCCACATACTATTTTCAGACTTTATTCCTTCTGCTAGGACATACGCTACTATATTGCACAATTACTGCACATGGTTATAAAACACCATTGCATTTAGCTTACCGGGTATACTGGGACCTAGAATATACTCTGGCTGCAATGGAGACATGGGAGTTTTGCTAGAGGCTTCAAAGGGAACAGGTATGGACTTCCACCCCCGCCTTAATGCCAGCCACTAATCCAAGCAGAAATATATTAAGCCTTGTTTAAAAAAGTGGAACCAATAAAGATGCATACCCTCCTTCTGTATCTATACTCCCCTTCCCTGCAGCCTTTGTCTACTAACATTGTTTGCTGTGTTGTGCCCAATATTGGTATTGTAAACTCCCAGGTCTATCACTTTTACTTGTCTATTAAGCACTATGCACATTATAAAATGACAAGAGGAGATGATGATGATGATTGATGATGATATTGATATTGATGATGATTATGCTGATGTAAAAGAATAAGAAACGATGTTAAAACTGCTCTCACAGAAATCATTAATGCTTAGCAACTACAAGTAGTTCATACCAGAGCAAGGAAAAATATTACTGAGTCAAGATACCGCCTACATACCCCTTAAGCCTAGTCCCATGTCTAGCATTATATTGCAGTGAAAAAATCTTTCTAAGCGAAGAATGAGCTCAAGGCAGAACAATGACCTAGAAAGACACCTGGAAACTTCTGTCCCCTACCTAGGTTGAACAGAGAAGAGTATTACAAGTCTAGATATTTTAAAAGTTCTTATTATGCAATAAACCACCCCCAAACCGGCATCTACTCTAATGTAATTGAAGTTTTCCTGAAATATATCCAGGGCAATAAAAATCAGAGCTAACAACAAAATTGCAATTTGATTTGAAAGCATATTGAAAGCAGTATATATGGTGTTGGATGAGAACATAAGAACGGCCATACTTGGTCTTACCAATGGTCCATCTAGCCCAGTATCCTTTCTTCTGACAGGGACCAGTGCCAGATGATTCCAAGGGAATGAACATAACAAGGCAATAGTTGAGTGATCCATCCTCTCTCATCCAGTCCCAGCATCTGGCAGTTATAAACTTACAGACTCCCAGTGCATGGGGCTGCATCCCTGACCATTTTGGCTAACTGACAGTGATGTACCTATCCTATAGGTTGTTACTATCACCCTACTTTAGTATTGAACGCATTGTACATAAGAGAAAGTTACTTTACCATCTCTAATCTATCAACTAGATATTTGTACTCAGCTGAAAATATGTAGCACTGCTTTTGAATATAAATGAATTATTAACATTGACTGAAAAACCCTATCTGTCTCCCCCCTCTCTGGAGATTTGCTTCTTGCAACGTGTGCTACCACTGTAAAAGATTTTTCTAAACAGTAAGCCAGATCATGTCAATATATGCCACTGAGCCAACTTCTGCAGTCTCTCTTCTGGCAAAATTCCCATAGGAGTCAATTCACAGACTAAAATCTGCAGGGTCTGGTTGAATGTCCTTAATTATGATGGCCAATTCCATGCTAGCTGCAGCTGTTATTCTGGAACCTGACATCACATTGGCCACTGATAGTTTCACAGAGTGGAATAATATAATAAGAACTAGCATTTATATAGTGCTTTACATCTTGCACGCACTGTGTAAATATTACCAAAGAATACTATTAGCTTTTACTTCTGTCAACTTCAATACAGGGAGAACAATCAAAAGACCTTTTCTATTTAATATTTACATGAAATGGGTCTAATTCTTCTCATTTCACATATATAATTGGGTAAAACAGTAATAATAATAATAATAATAATAATAATAAAAAGCTCATACTGTCCAACTATACAATCTCACTGTTCTATATCACTGGTAAACTTCACAACAAATCATGGTTGACTGAAAAAAGAATTTACTTATGGCGTAGACTTTCTTTATTAGGATAAAGAAACTGATGCAATGTCTGTGTTTAAAATTATTTCACTGAACATATACAATGAAAAATTGTGCTTACTTTTACATAAAGCATGTCAGTGCTATTTTGTTTATATTTGAATGAGCAAAATATGTATTATTATCATTATTGCTGTTATTATTCTTATTTTCCACTAATGGAAGATAGAAAATAGGTTTCTATTATCTTTTTCTCGATAGCTGACAAAATACACATCAAGTGCTAAGAAACATAACAATCACGTGACTTTATATTCACAGGTAGCTTCTTCAATGAACCATTAAGCTCTTATTCAAGGAATTTTCACTGTGAACAAGAGAGAACGCTCACTCACCAAAAATAAATAAATGAGAAACTACTTAAAATGCAATAACTCAAAGTAAATGGATTTCTTACCATTGTGAGCGTAAATGGATGGCTTTCTAATGCTGACGCTCTTGGACAGTGCAGAATAATGTACTGAAAAAAATCACCCAGAAAGAAATGAATGGTAGAAAAGATATGTTCAAAACAAAAGCATCCTTCAACCCTTGTAAAAAAAGAAGCAGTTTTATGTTCTGTATAAGTCAACTTACCTGACCAGGTCTTGCTTTAAAATTTTCTTTCCTCATTCGTAGTTCAAGGACATTACAGGGATGGCTTATTACTGACACTATTGTGACTGGTTTATTACTGCGGAAATAGCGGTAGAGCCTTTCTGCACAATATAAGCACAAAGGTCCAGAAATCCAAAGCCAAGTCTATAGGAAAAAAAACACAAAAATATTACTCCAAGTAAATTTCTTCTTTTTTAATTACAAAATAACATGACTCCTTATGAAGCTTCGTTCTATTATGCTTATGGGCTTGTCTTCACTACGTGGAAGATTAGTGCTACTGCAGTCGATCTTCTGGAATTCAATTTAGAGGGTCTAATAAAGACTACTAAATTGAACTCAGAGGGTACCACCATTGGCATCAGTATTCCTGCTCCTCACGAGGAGCAAGGGAAGCCAACGGGAGCATTTGCTCGCAGCAACCTCAGACTGAGGAAATTGTATGGAAACTCAAACTAAGGTATGTTGACTACAATTATAGTTAACGTAGCTGGAGGCGAGTATCTTAATTCGACCTTCCCCTTCAGTGTAGACCTGGGGAATGTTAACTAGTGCTTTAGGCAACATCTACGCTTATGGCAGCATCCAAAATACAGGTACTACACAGGTAACTACAGGCTGCCGTCAAAGGCAGGCTGTGTCCTCGCATGCCACTGCAATGTGGAGGTCAAAATGAAGATGTTAGACAAGATGACCTTTGCGGTCTTTGTTAACTTTATGGTTCTATAATTCTATATGCCACTGTGAAAGACTCCCATGAGGCATTTGGACACTTGTCATAGGAGGCATTGCTAGGGCATATAGAGACACATGTAGAGAATTTATCCTGGGCATTCCAGAGATTAGGCTCTCTGCTGTACTCCATTCACCTAAGCCATGTCTGACCATGCTAGCTAAATAAGTGGAGACATCGCTTTACTTTGCAAATAGTCCCAATGGTGGAAGAGATGGAGACTGCCTAATCACGAAGCTATAGAGTAATTTTAATCCTTTCTCTGGCCCAATTAATATTGAATTATTCCATTATTTAATTAAAGTGGAACAACTTCAATAGCAGAGATTGTCACATCAATATGTCCCATAGTCCAGCAGTTAGAAACCTTGTCTGAAAGGTGGCAGATCCCTGTTCAAATACTTTCTCATTTGGCAGACGGGGGCTTGGGAGGTATCTCATATCCCAGGTGAGTACCTTAACCACTAACGTAAAGATTATAAAAGAAATTCACCTTCCCTTCCTCCCCCTCACCGCAGCTGCTTTGTATGAACTTGTCTAAGGGGCCCAATCAAGTAGCTAAGCTATTGGACTAGACCTGGCCTACAACATAGACGTTCATCTGCTCTGGGGCTTAGGCAGGAGATAGGCGCCTGGATGTGTAAAGGAAGGCAGCAATGTGCATGGGCAGAGGTAGAAACAGAGGTGCTAAGAGAATGTTTAATGAAAAAAAATAGAGGCAACAAGTGAGTTTAGGTGCCTACAGTGTTCGGAACAAGTTTTATAGAGAGCAGTGAAGCACCAACCGGGTTTTAGGTGCCTATGTCTTAGGATTAGTTACTTAAGTAATTTTGTCTAAATAGTCCCACTATAAATAGACAAAGGGTGGGAGATAGGAAACATTCTTAAAGGGGAATTGGCCACAGAGAGAGTAAGTGAATTGTCCTCGGTCACATGCTGTATGCCTAGTTTAACAGACTTGGATGGGGGGGGGGGGGAAGCTCATGCTGCTGCCCCAAAACTAGCTGCGCAGACACTGTGGCTCAGGCTGGAGCTTTGGTTGTGAAGCTAGGGACAGGTTGTGGCTTCAGAGCCCACACAACTTTGACCTGGTCTGGGGCGCTTGCTGCCTCTGTAGGCAAACCCTTAGGGGTCTGTGTACCAGCCCAGGTCCCAAGCTACACATCCAACCTTCCTCTCTGATGTTCATGTTCAAAATACCAGCATCTCTCATAAGTTGCAGAGCCTGTAAATTCCATAGGCCTCATCAGCCCTAGCAAGTCTAATAGCTCACAGTGATTATGAATACTGTACATTTCTCTAGCCTTAGAAGCCCCCTGTAGCATAACGCACTTCTGAGCCCAGCCAACTTCCCCTGGTTAAACAAATAATAATGGTGCCTGGTGCTGGGAAAGCACCAAATTTAACACACAGATTATATTAAGTCTTCTCCCAAAGAGGACATTGTTTGGATGCCCTAGAGATGGGATGATACAAGTAAACCAGGTGCATCAGATTCATTGCCATTTGAATTTTAGAATGCCGACTGAAAGAACTGAAAAGAGCTCACCAGACTTATTGGCCTCGAGGCATGCAGACCCACACTAAAGCGGCCTTTGCCAGAGTGTCACCTTATACTAGCATGGAATCCCCTTGACTTCATGACTGACACTTGTTGCAAGAACAGGGAGAATGCTGCCCTGATCTGGCAAAGCAGGCAAACACTATAAAGGACCCCTAACAAATAAACCTGAACCTGAGTACTCTGTGCGTCCCTAATCTGGGAACACCCAAGATTTGGACCCTGGCAGGGGGAGGAGAAAGTGGCTCTGTGCATTGCCAGTCCCCCTTCTCCTCCCCAGCTCAGATAAGTGTTTCTCCAGAGGCTTTTCCATGCCACTCTCATAGCAGCAGGGACAATGCTTGAGAGCAGCGGGGGGCGTGGAGTCAAATGTGCCCCTGGGAGCAGGGCACCAGGTAAGCACCCACCCCATCCTGCTCAGAACCAGACCTCACCTTCCATCCCCCTCACGTGCCCGCCCTCTCTTCCAGACCCCAACCCAGTGCCTTCCATGCTCCATGAAATTCCTTAATCTGGCATACTCTATTTTCCAGAATTGCCAGATTAGAGAAGTTCAAGTACTGGAGATGTGGCCAGCTTTAACATGCTTGAAAAAGCTGCTTCTGCCTCTGTCACATTTTCAGGCTCCAGCTTCTCTGTGTCTTCTGGGGCATCATCATCTTTTAGCTCGATTACTGCAGCCTCCTTCTCTACAGGCTGTGTGGCACACACTTCCCCCACCTCTGCACTCAGATCTTTTTCAAACACTGCTAAAATAATCTTCCCAGGCCCATCACTCCCTTCTCTGAATCCCTCTAATGGCTCCCTGTTCTCCACTGCATCCAATCCAGGGTTATTGAAATGTCCCATTTCCCCTTTTACTCATGTATCTTATCACATCTCCCCCTCCACTCTGCCTACAATATCAGCCTTGATTGCTCCTTTGCTTATCTCTCCATGGTGAAAAGATGGTCGTTGCAAAAGAGGCATTTCAGAGACTCCAAGGCCAGAAGGGAGCACTGTGATCATCTAGTTTCACTGCCTTTATAACACTTTCATAGAGCCTCTTACGCATGGATCATAGTCCCTAACTAGCCTGTCAAGCCACTGTCCTCTCCTTCAAATTCCTCTTTAAGAACCACATGATGTCAATGGGATCTGCCAACTCACAGTGTGTAGGTAGGTGGCCAGCAGGATTAGTGATATATTTCTTTAATTTCTAACAATATTTCTCCCATTACTTCCTGCTTTGTGTTATAGCCTTTTATGGTGTTTTGTCTTCAGTTAAGCCCTGATTCAGCCGAGTGTTGAAACACTGCACACATAGAGAGCCCCACTGACTTCAGCAATGCTCTACAAAAGGATCTTCCTGTGGTTTGTTGCAGGATTTGGTCTAAAGCTATGTCTACACTGGGAAAGTTTGGCGACAAACCTGCTGTTAACATGCAAATGTCGCTAAAAGTGAAAACAGCTCAAACCAGTTTTATTGTCTGCCAGTCTCAACATTTCATGGGCACATTGCTAGCTCCCGTCAACAGTGCAGTGATGTGGGAAGGCAGAGCTGATCCCTGCACTTCTCGGGACTCTCTCATAGCTCTGTGAGCTCTCTGTTCTAAGGGATGTCAAAGCAGCACAGCAATCTCGCCAGCCCTCCTGCTGCAGCAGCCAAACAGAAGCATTCCAATTAATTGTTTTTAGTTTGTTCCCCAAAAGGAGCAGTTCACTCAGCTATCAGATACTTTCTGGAGCTTTGAAAGGCAGGGGGGGAGGGGGGGAAATGTGTTCATTTTTTTTAATTGTATCCTTTGGTATATATGGTTGTGACTATTTTCTTCCACTATTTGATCTGAGGAAGTGGGTCTGGCCCACGAAAGCTCATCATCTAATAAACCATCTTGTTAGTCTTTAAAGTGCTACATAGTCCTGTATTTTGTTTCAGCTACACCAGACTAACACGGCTACATTTCTATCACTATTAAAAAATTTAAGAAACACTGCACTAAAGAGAGGAAAAAGATAAAAGTCTCTCACGGAGTGGAAGTTATTTGTCGCCGAAACTGGAAAGTCGCATTGTAAACACTTTCACTGTTTTGTCACCAAAAGGCAGTTTTGGCAACAACAAAAATGCCACTGTAGACAAGCCTTAGTTCTCAAGGTCTTCAGTGAGACTTGTCTCTTCTTATGTCTGGCAGGGTGCTTAGGACAATGGGGCTCCAATGGTGATGCAGCACTCTGGGGCTACCTCCATACTGCATCCCTCTGTCAGCAGAAGGATGCAAATAAAGCACTTGGAAAGTACAAATGAGCCTGGGATTTAAATTTCCCAGGCTTCATTTGCATACTCATGTTTTGGCACTGGGCTGATCACACACCATTTCGAAAGTGAAAGGGCTCTGTAGCCGCAGTTCTGCTGACAGTGCGGAGCTTTTTCGACAAATCCTGTACTCCTCAAAAAACGAGGAATACAGGAATACAGGATCTGTCGAAAAAGCTCCCCGCTGTTGGCAAAACCATGGCCACATAGCACTTTCACTTTTGAAATGGCGCGTCTTCGGCACAGCGCTGGAACGTGAGTATGCAAATGAAGCCCGGGATATTTAAATCCTGGGCTCATTTGCACTTTCGAAGTGCTTTATTTGCATCCCTCTGCCAAGAGAGGGATGCAGTCTGGGGGTAACCTGGGCTCTACTGTAATATAAATAAGAGCAATAACAACAATAAATAGTTATGTGGGTTATCTAATTTCTACTACAAAGTCAAATCTATATTTTGATAACATTTACACCAAAGTAATGTGTAATCAAACTGACATGTATACAGTTAAAATTAGTGCAAGTGGACATTGTTTCAATTAAGCTAATGTCTCAAAATGCTTATTAAAGATCCTTTATATTGTTCCCACTGTACAATGTTCACCACTCTGTATTGTGCTCTAAAAATGTTATACAAATTGCTTTATGCCACCAAATCTATGGATGCCTGGAAAAGTTTTCATAATATTTTACATTATGAAAACATCTGGTCTAGAGAAATAATAATTGGTATTTATGTCTGAGTGAAAGTCTTGGCATCGCCTGTAAAACCTGAAACACTGGATCATACGAACCTCTGGGAAGTGTGACTGGAACTTGGGTTCCTCTGTGCAAATTCCCACAAAGTTCTTTTCGACAAATTGTTCTGGTTCTGGTGGGAAAGCCTCAGGAGAATATTCAGGAAAAGGCTCTTCAAAGCTTCCTGGCACTGGAATATCCTCTTGGAGAGATGTGTTAGGATGAAAGCAGCCAGGAGGGTGTTCCTCTAGGTTAATCTGGTACTTAAGCACTCCTCTACAAGAAACACCCCCCACAAAAAAAGACACTGAAGCAGCATCACAATAACTTACTTTAGGCCAACACAAAGCTGATCAAAGGCTGATATTCCCACAAGTATTTTTACTTTTCTTTTTTTTTTTTTTTTTTAGAGTTTGAATTAGCTTGAAGCTTTCCAACAATAGATCCCTTTGTCACTAGAGTGGAGGCGCAACCCACCTGGCATGCCTGATACTACTTGAGGGTAAGATAAATTGTGGAGGCCTTGGAGAGAAATTAAATAGTCGCATTTGCAATTCAATCACCCCAAAGTTATTTTCAGCCACATACTGTATTACGCAAGCCCTCATTTCAATGCAGTCTTAAACACAAGTGTCCTAGCAGTACTGTAAAATTATAAACGGCAGGGAGCACTCCCATCATTCAGTGTATTTTATGTTTATGCATAACAGCATCATATGTGAACAACACTACAGTTTTGAAAATCCACTTATCACATGAAAAAAGTCAATATGACAGGTTGTTCACCCACACTGATGTGGTTAAGAAGGCCTCAAAAGAGGCCAATTAATCTTCATAGCAGTATCTAAAGGGAGGCCCAGGGATTCATAAATACTAATCGCTGATGATGCCCAGCTTGGGGAGAAGCTGGATAAGGAATGTAAAAAGAGGAATTCTTTAGTAGCAGGAGGCCAGAAGGAGAGTCTATAGTCATTCTCTCAGAGCAGAGAGTTGGGAAGGTGGAAACTCAGGGAGAAGAATAAGTCCTGGGATTCTGACACTAACTCCAGAGGAGTTGGGGAAGGGAGGAGGAGAAGGCTGAGAAGAAAGAGGCTCAGGGAAATTAGAATGGAGAAGGGCATGAGTCACTGGGAATTGGCACAGAAATGTTAGAGGCGACACCAACAAATCTGGTCCAGTAAGACTTTCATACCCTGGAATGGAGGGACCATATAATGACCCCTGGCTGGAAGACTAAATCGCAAAACAGGGAGTACTGTGAATTATAGGAAGAGAACCCACTGCAACCATAGATTGACTATCAGCAGGGGCCATCATATGGGAAGAAAGCCAGTATGCCATGTCTGACCAGAAAGAGGTGTTCTTGCAGTGAGTGAACCCCATCACAGTCCTCCATCAAAGGTGTAGACAGATTGAGAAAGAGAGAGACAGACAGTGAGCGTGCACCTGGAACACTGGGACTGGTATAAGACCTGAGGCTTGAACCAGAGGCTGTGGACCAAAGTCAAACCATGTATTAAAGCAAATGATTATAAGCAGGGCTTGATGAACTGTGGCAAAAGCCGCTCGCCAGCCCCGCACTGCACATGCGCAAGACCTGCATTGTGCATGCGCGCGCCGCCAGTAAACAGGGCGCCGGGCTGAAATCTACTCGCCACAGGCGAGTAGATTCAATAGATTGTCGAGCCCTGATTATAATTACACTGTTTAGTATATAAACTTGCCAAAGTCGCTGCTAGTGACAAGGCACTAGATATATATCCAGGACTCGCCGAACCGTGGTGAGCCCTGCTCGCCAGCCGTGCTGCCTGGCGATCTGCGCATGCACAGATCGTTCTACACATGAGCAGATTGCCCGAACCCAGCTCTTCCAGGTTGCAATCTATGGTGAGTAAACTGCATTATTTGTGAAGCCCTGTATATATGCATAAACATATTTTAGAAAGCTAGATATGAGACAGACTCGTACAAGAGCAGATGGTTTAACAGAATAGGGGTGTTCTGTATTTGTTTATTACCTCTCCTTGTACCTTGTTCTTAATATTTCGGATAATGCATTTGTCCAAGTTGTGTGAGTCATTAGGACTGTGCCTTGAGGGCAATAAACCTGGCTGAGTACCTTTCTCACAGAACTATGCCAGAGGTGTCCCTTTGGGTATGTCTACACTACAGAGTTAGTTCGAACTAACTTAGTTCGAATTAGTTAATTCGAACTAAGCTAATTCGAACTAACGCGTCTAGAACTAAAAACTAGTTCGAATTAGCGTTTTGCTAATTCGAACTAGCATGTCCACATTGAGTGGACCCTGAACAGGGCTTAAGGATGGCCGGAAGCAGTGCCGGCAGGGCATCAGAGGAGGACTTAGAGCGTGGAGATGCTGTCTCAGGCTAGCCGAGGGCTGCGCTTAAAGGGTCCCGACCCCCACCCCGGACAGACAGTTCTCAGGGGTGCCCCACTTGCAAAGCAGTCCTGTCTTGGAGTGCCCTGAGTGCCCACACTGGGCACATCACAGCACTCGGCCATCAGCCCGGCTGCACTTGCCGCAGGCTGCCATCTGGGGAGAGGGGGCAACTGTGGCCTACAGGAGAGCTTCCACCCTCAGAAGCCCACAGAGCTAGCCCAGTCCTCCCCATCGGAGGCTCGTACCCCATTCCTTCCTCACCTCCTTCCACTTACCCCTCCCTAGCCCCCCTTCCTGATGTACAAAATAAAGATAACGTTTCTTCCAACATTGACTCTGTCTTTATTGAACAAAACTGGGGGAGACTGGGAAAAGGAAGTGGGAGTGGGGAAGAGAGAGGCTGGGAGAGGGGAGGGCAACTAACATGATCAGGGGTTGGGAACAGGCCCCAGATGAAGAGAGGCTACAGAGACTGGGACTGTTCAGCTTAGAAAAGAGGAGACGGAGAGGGGACAGGATAGAGGTCTCTAAAAGCAGGGGTTAGGTGGAGAGGGTGCATTCAGAAAAGTTCTTCATGAGTTCCCATAAAGAAGGACTAGAGGACACCAAAGGAAAGGAATGGGTAGCAGGCTTCAAACTAGTAACAGAAAGTTGTTCTTCACAAAGCAAAGAGTCAACCTGTGGAACTCCTTGCTGCAGGAGGCTGTGAAGGCTACAACTAGAACAGAGTTGAAAGGGAAGTGAGATCAAGTCATGGAGGTTGGGTCCATGGAGTGCTATTAGCCAGGGGGTAGGA